GTCCCACAATTGAGCCAGCCCTGCAACTTAGCCCTGCTCTCCAACTGTGCTAGACATAACCATTTCTCAACAGGTTGAAAATGATCTCTTGCATGTGCCTGTTTAAATTAGAACACTAAATGGTGCAGAAGTGGGTGAAAAGTAAAGTGATCCTTAAAAAGAAGTGACATATACCTACTTTGTCATTAATCTTTGTGACTGAAGAAGCACCTTTGACTGTTGCTGAAAATTCCCACATTTATTTCAAAAATTTGACTATCCCTGAATACGCCAGGTATTTCCATATTGTCTTAGAGAAGTAAAAATAGGCCTAGAGATTATGTACCTTCAAATTCATGGGCTAGAATATGTAACCACTTTTGAGATGAACAAATGTGTTTCAGCATTCTGAGCTTTTCATTATTTACTTAAATTACTTTGATTGGCAGGATGCTAATTCTGTGCCTTTATGCTGTTTTCTTTCGTCTTCGCCTTAATATTAATGAAGAACTCTGCTGAGTTTTGCTGAAGCTAACAAAAAAATATCTTAAACCTTGCAACTTGATCAGACTCTTCTTATCCACATGGTTCCTGGCTATCTTGGTGAAATATTCTGCTTGTAACAGTAATTTTGGACATTAAAAASAATCTTTTTGCGCAGTGGCAAAGCTGGGACCATTTAGTCAGCTCTAGGAAACATAGTTTTCTTAAAATGAAAACTACTGAAGTCTTCATTTATGGTCCAGAAACAGTTACTTGCCAACACTCAGTGAATGTAAAATTAAGCATGAGATTTAACATGCTAGAAAAGGCATTAATCATTACATAGTGAAGTATGTCTTTGTTCCTTATGGATATTTTTTCCAGGATACATGGAGAGAAATAAAAAGTAAAGATTTACATTTTTCTTTTATTGTTTCATGGTATATATTTTGCAATGACCTAATTGATARTAATTAGGAAGATCTTCATCAAAGGTTACTAGCTTTCCTCTWTGTGAAATGGAGGTTCTGAAGGATTTATGTTCTTCTTTAGGCAAAAAATTTTGCCTGCATAAAACTTCTGATAAAACTTCTGCCAGCCTCCTTTCTGGCCTATGATGGGCATGTAAAACACGCCCAGCCTTCCCTCCTCTTAGTTGATTCCTACTTGCTACTGAGAGTTTGGCATTGATGCTTGTGACAGCGCTAGGAAAATCAACTGAATCTACATATTCAGTGATACTGGAGTCCAAAGAATTGTTATTTAAAATTCCTGCATTTACCTATATTTGTATGTTTTAGATTTCTTCTAATATTAAAAGACCACCAGGAGGATATGCCTGCAGTTTGTGGTGGATGTAGAAGAGGAGAAGGATTATTCACAAAGGATTATTCTTTGTCACCTGAAGGTCTTAATATCTGAACACATAAAATGTGGTTCTGTTGCAAATTTGTGGACCCCTCTCAGTTTTTAAGGTAGGGTTTAAGTTTTATAGTTTAAAGTGAGGTGTGTATATATACCTATAGACAGAGGCAACTGGAAGCAGTGTGTAATTTGCARCAAAATGATAATTATTCAGAAGCCAACAATACACCAAATAGATTTGTTAAAGACTTCTAAAAAACAAAGGAACTGATCAGTGTTAAAATAACTCATCCMTTGATGAAATAAGAAGACGAGATATTTCACTGTATAAGATAAGATAGTAACATAAAAATGTTACTGGAAGTAATCTCTGGGGGGGCCAACCACAGCCCAGCTTCCTGTTCACCAAGACTAGGTCATCAGGCGTTGCTTTGTTGAGCCAAGCCGTGAATAGCTGCTTGATATTCAAGCCTTGAATATCTGGACATGCCCAGACCCCATGAGTAACATGTTCCAGTGCCACACTCACCTCGGAAAGATGTTTTCTTAGCTACTGTCAAGAAGAATTTGTCTCCATCTGCTTTTTAACTCCCTTTAAGTGGTTTATAGACTGCTGTTAGATTTGCTCTTAGCTCCTCTTCAATTGAAGGAATATATTGTAGGGATTAATTTAATAATGGCGGCATAAAAAAAGAAAAAAAGAAAAAAGGAAAAAAAAAAGATTGACTGTTAGTTTCCTCCTTAGCCTACTTTATTTCTGTGGTTGAATTACTACTTCCCTGAGAGATCTTGCTGTTTCTCCTTTCTTATTGAAATAACTTTTCTGATTTAATGTCTGCTAGGGAGGTCTTATAATACTAAAAATAGAATTATTTTAGTTTATTTTTGTCTGTAATCTTTTTTCTTTTTTTAATAATATGAAACATTATTATGAAAAAGATGTAGAACTGAAAGCCACAATGCAAGAGGTGCTGCTATGTTGTGCTCAGTAAAGTGCAGGTCTCCAGCAGCATGACTGTAAGTGATAAAACCACTCAAATTCCCAAAGACATAATGAAAGTAGGTGTGTTTTTCATCTTCCTAAATAATGCTTTGTTTTAAGAGGCAATTTCATTCACTGTTTGAATGTTTACAGTGTTTATAGTTATGAGAACTGTTCCGTTATTTAAACCTGATAAAGCACTATCCTCTTTGAATAAGGATTCTAATACAAGTTGACATCACAAGTATTTATATAAAGAATTGTCACTCTGCTGTACTGTAATTCATATAAAGAAGCAATAAACCATCCCAGGTAACAGGAAGTTGTAGAGAGAAGTCATACATTAATCAGAGAAAGGAGAATTATCTGGTATAACAAGAAATCAATTTAGGATTGTTTTGATTTGTATATCAGAATTTCCTGAGTATTCTGCAAGCATAGAGAGATCTGAGGTAGATTTCTTTGAGATACAGGATCAGGAATTTGTTCCTTGTGTGTTATTCTCAGTATTAGTTTATGAGCTGCTACGATCTTCCTCCTCACCTGGACTTCAGTTAACATGATTAAATGTTAATGTGCAAAAAGTTCCCAGCCAAGTTCTGTGTAAGTAGATRGGATGTTTTTGCTTTGAGTCTAGTTTTACATTTAGGTGAATTACAGTAATTTACTTTCCATGTGAGCTAAAGTGACCCTCTTACAGGATCCAATTGTAAGACTGGATAATTCGAGTAAAACTTCCCATTGCTCAGTATTTGGTGAAGTCATTTGGAAAAGTCTTTGATCTGTGCTCTAAGTGGCAGTACAGTGTATCATAGCAATGCTGCAGGACAATAGTGAACGAGGCTTTTAGTTCTTTTAAAGAACCTCATTTAATTATTCATTGTGAACTATTTGTTGAACTCTGCTTCTAAGCACTTAYACATTTTGAGCTTGTTCAAAAACCGCAAAATATATGAAGGAATCATGTCATATATCTGGCTGCTAATTATTTGCTGAATCATGGAAGCAAATGGGGAAAAAAAAAAACCAAGCGCTAAGCTGTTGAAGTTAGCATTGATGAATAGTTCTGTCACAGGGAAAAACATAAAAAGTTTAAGAAAAATATTATTTTTAAGAATAAGCACTCTTTATTGCTCCCAATTTTCAAAAGGCATGGAACTAAGATATTTTCATCATGTTTTGATTTGCAGAACACAAACAAAAATTATAAAATACAAATAATAGTGCAACATGAATGCAGCGCTACTTATCCCTGRCTTAGCATGACTCAGTACAGCACAGGAATTTCTGTAAGAGTTTATCCAGTGGCTAGGTGAAAATAAATGAAAGAAAACTACAGTATCCAAAAAKAGTCATATGGGGACATATTTTCCCACTTAGTTGAGCTTTTATAAATAGGAAAAATATACTCATCCTTAAACCTTGTTGCTCCAGCTGTGTTCTTCATTGTTTTACAAACTATGTTTTACAACATAGTTTCACTGAATATATATRTATTTGCTGAAAAAGACCTGAAAATTTATCTAGATATGTCATGAAAATCATTAAAGCTGTCCATGAAGAAGATTCAGTTATAAAAAAAAAATGAGATAATAATTCCTGTTATGCTTAGAAGTATTATATTCAGTACCACTCCTCACTGAAAAAAGGGACCTTTCATTTAGCAGGACAGCTGACAGAAGAGAATCACTGGAACAAATAGTTCCAGAAGGAAAAACAGGCCGACAAGAAGATTGTGCAAATGAAACTTCTTCCAGACTCTTCTGTCTTGCTCACTGACACTTACTTATAACAACCAAGCAGAACAATTTGATTGTTTAAAAATAGTAAACAATTTTTCTGTACCAGAACTTGTATGTGCTAAACAAATAATGACTGATTAGAGGCTGATTAGAGGCATCATTCTGTGCATAAATGAATGAGGTTGTTGTATGAGAAGTACTTTTCTGTCAACAGAAAAAAAAATGGTCAAAAGAGGCACACAAAAAAAGAGAAAGAGCAAAACCAGGAAAGCAATGTTTATAGTGTTCAGCAAACTCTGCTACATATCTACTTCATATTTTTCACTGATGATACAACAATACACCTTGAATAATACAAGGCTAAAATTATTGCTTTTCCATGTTGAGATAGCCACTGATCATGACCAACCATTGGACCTCCTACACAAAATCAGTGGCAGATCATTGAGTTCTTCTAAAACTCATGAGATAATGATCTTTTGTGTTAGCTTAAATGTTTTTACATGACTACTGGAGAGTATCTTTTGAAGAATGTCTTCTATGTGCAATATAGAAGGGTGAAGTTATTTGAGAGACAGGTTCTTGGTGGTTGTATGCATATAAATACTTGTTTCCTTAAGGACTAGTCCCTTTATTAATTATTACCATGTCAAAGAGAAATAAGTCTGTGGAGCATTTATGGAAAAAGAGGAAGCTAACATGAAATTCTGATTTAACCTAGTCCTGGTTCTACTGAGAGTGTTCTTTTTAATTACAAGATCCATAGAAAACAATATGTAGATTTCCTGTATGGTAAATTTTGGTATTTTGCTTGAAATGAATGAATTTATTGAATAGATAGCCTGTTTAAGGTGGAAAGCATCTCTCATTATGAGTGCTCACCAGAAAATAACTTTGGTTATGTAATGTTTATTATTCCTTTCTTGTTTGTATGTCTTGATTTCTCATAGAGACTCAAGGAGCTGAAACAGAGGGAGTTTGCCCGAAATGTAGCTTCCAAGTCAAGAAAAGATGAAAGAAAACAAGAAAAGGCCCTTCAACGTTTGCACAAGTTAGCTGAGCTGAGGAAAGAGACAGCTTGGTAAGTGAATAGCTGTGAAAATGTAGAAAATATTTTAAATAATCCCTGGACTATTAGCTGGAGCTCTGGGACACATGGCTGTTAAAATCCTCAGCTGGAGCTAAGCACACAGCCCTGCACATTTTTATGCCATTTCTGAAGCAGTATGTATACAGTCATTTGATTCACACCATGTGAAGAAATAAATGTTTAACGTTATTTTTCAGTGGAGCTAAATTGACATGTATTTTTAGTTTAAGAAAAATTGTTTCATATATATTTCATAAAACTAGGCAGACTGGTTGAAAGCTTAGTGAACTAGGTCATGCATTTGAAGGCTGACACTACTTCATTGATGAGGTGAGGAATGCAGTCTGTCTTTCTAGGATGTAACAGATCTCTGCAATTTAGTTTTCAAACAGCTTTCCTGGGAAGGCATCCAGAAATCTAGTTTTAAATTTCAGTATCTTGATGTTTTATATTAAAAGATAAGTGCATCTTTTCCCAGCTCAGCAGAGTGTTTACTTCTCATTACAAGAGTGACTCCTGACTAGTCATACATTACTGTTGAATCTAGGCATATCTCTGAAGTTAATATTGAATTTGCTGGTTGTGATCATATTCTTACTAAAATATAATACACTTACAAGCCACTGAAAATATTTGTGGCAGGTTGGCCTTTTGCAGTGCCTCAAGGGTCAGATCAGAAAAGTAGGTGTTTAAAAGCAAATATTTTCATTTTATCTGGGCTTCATCTTACCAGATGAACTACCAGAGAAGTCAGACCATAAGACCTGTTTTTCTGTTYCTGTGGTTGCATCCATATTTGTATGCTGGTCAGTATATGGAAGTAAAGTCTCTAAACAGGTGGATATGACATGAATCTTCAAAGGTCGGTTGATACGAGCTAGATAATACCTGTTTTTTCTTTTTTATCCATTTATGGTAGGTGATTTAGAGGCTTTTTAAATCAGTGCTTTAACTTTCCAAATCTAATAATTGAGCATCATGATTTTTATATTCTCGATTTTAGATATTGTTCCCTGAAACGTACCTCAATATCAAAATTTAGTAGAATTCAGGAATGAGGTATTGTTCATCTTTTTTTTGACGTTAATGAAACACAGATTTTGATATTGTTGTTTATGTTACTTTATAAATGTCCTTCTTCTATTTCCTGAAGGAAGAACTGCCTCTAAGATTTATTTCTCCATTTCATAATTGCTTTCTACTGCTTTGTGTTGTTAGCAGTGTGATATAAACAGACACACAGAATTCTTTTAAATTAGAATCTTCTAAGTTGGGATTATAGAAGAAACCAACATTTTATTTTGTTAGAGAAAAGTTTGGGTTTTTTTAAGATATTTTCAATCTATGCTGAACTGACAAATGAAAGACTTCTCATGAGGAAGTCCTTTCTCACAAAATCTCTACCTTAATTCCTAGATACAATAGATGTAAATTTGCCATTCTGTAGTTCATCACTTGTCCTGAGCTACACTTGCAAGTCTTCTCATCATCCAGTTTTATTGTGCACTAAAAAATCCAGAAAATTTAGTTGAAGCCATAACAGTGACAAATTGTTACATAGAAACTTCTGCGTCTCCTGATGTCGAGTGTTTTTATTTTTTGTGGATCCTGGAAAACTGACAACTTAAATTTTGCTCTTGTCCTTGCTTCCTCTTAAGTCAAATAGAACAGATGGGAATATGACATGAAATAAAGAACAGGAGTAGACGATGATAATTTTTTTTCTCAAGAAAGATGAATCACTTATTGCACTACTGTCAGCTAAACTGCTTTCCTGAAATTATTTTTCCATGAAAGAAATTGCTGAGATTGCTACAGTTATATTTGTGAACACAAATAAAAAGAGAGTTGATGGAGTGATTGCCTATAGGTGGAGAAGCAGTCACTAGGATTATGACTAAATGGGAGGTGATCTATGAGATGGTTTCTGTTTTAATATATTCTGCAGCTCAAAAGAATTTAAAACCTCTACTATTTGTAGTAATACTGTTGAAACCATAATGGTCTATAGGGAGAAGTAAGATTTCTAGAGAAWGATAACCTTCTGGGTTAGCTAGGAAAAACGTGAACAGCCGTGTATGAATATTAGCATCTTATAATTCCACAGGTAGGAATGATGGGTACAATGTTTACTCATTAATTTTAGTATGTACAACTGATTTTACTATTTTTTTTTAATGTTTCAAAAAGGCTTTATCGACTCTTCCTGTTTCCTTAAAAAGTTTTAGCTACCAAGGTAACATCAAGTTCCTCTGGCAGGAATACAGTACTAATATCTGCGATTTTTTTTTTTTTTTTTTTTTGAAATGTACTCATGCTGAGTTTTGTTTTCCTTTCTAGTGCCCCTGGAAGTGGCCCCATGTTCAAATCTACTACAGTGACTGTGCATGATAATTCCAGTGATATCCCACAAAGTGCTGCCATAGACTCTGCTAATATACAAGATTTCAATTGCACAGTAACACCCTGTGCACAGAATTCTAACAGTGTGGCTTCTGATCTTTCCTCCATGCATGAGAATGCCTGTAGTAATATATCTGACCCTAAGAAACTTGGAGATCAAGTTCAGGGAGCTCAAGGACATAAAGTTGCATTCTCTTTTGCCTTCCCTAAGAAAGCAGCTGTCAAACTGGAATCTTCAGCTGCGGTTTTCTATGAATATAATGATGAAACATCTATTGAGCATGGTTTTAGCAGAAAAAGTAGATTTGTTCCAGGACCTTGTAATCTTCAGTCTCCAACAGCAGAAATAATTCTGTGCTCTGAGGAGAATCATGACTGCTTTTGTCCACTGGTGGAAAAATGCTCTGAAACAGAGGAAGCTCCTGAAACTCAGGAGTCGAAAGAACCAGCCAGTAAAGAAAACAAAATGCTGGAGAGTACTGTGTTTATTCCTGATATTTCTCATTCAAAAAATACCGTGTCTCCTGATTTGGATGGCTACAATATTGATGTAAGTACAACAGATTTACTAGATCAAGCACTACCCACAGGTGCAACCAGTAATCATGAACTGCCAATTGAATGCAGTAGTCATGAGCTGCTGGGAAATGGATCTGTTGCTCAGCCTGCTATGAAGGATTGTTTATCTCAGCAAGATAATACGGGAGAAAATTGTAAAAACGGGAACAGTGATTCATCCACAATTGAAATAAAACAGCTTGGGGCTGATGCATTAATTTCATCGAATTATGAAGAAGATAATAAAAGCCCACAAAGCAAGTCAGAGACACGCAAGAAACCTTCTGAACCTTTTTTTCCTGTTCTTAGCAAACATGGATCAAATACACTTCAGTGGCCATCAGAGATGTTAATTTACACAAATACAGACCCATCAATTTCTTACAGCTGTAATCCTTTATATTTTGACTTCAAGTTGTCAAAAGCAAGTGACAGCCAAGAAAAGCCCAAACACCAGACAAACATACCTCATTCTCACCATAAAACTGAATCTAACCAAGACCTAGTCTTAGATTTTACAAATAAATCCACTTCAGAATGTGGTGATTATCAAACGGAAATGAATAAAAACATGTGTAACTTTACGATACCTCTTATAAGTGACGTTTCCCTCATCAGAAATTGTGATCTTGCAAAAAATCAAGATAAAATATGCTTAGGTGAATCATTTAGGATTAGAAAAATAGGAAAGTGTCACATTTCTAAAAGTCATTTACGACAAAGCACTGTGATAGATGAGAAACATAACAAAGTCCGCATCAAAGAAGGTCATGTAAAATGTCTTTGCAAAAACAGAAAACGAAAAAGGAAAAGAAAACTATGTCATTGCCATCATCATCATCACCCTCATTGTCGAGAAACAGCAAAGGCAGAAATAAAGATTTCCTCAGTGCCTGAACAGGAAAATAATTATGTAGAAGAAGATAAATATCAGCCACTTCAAAACAATCCAGAGAAGTGTAGATATGATGCAGGAATCTGGTTATCTACAGATGAGATACAACAGTCATATCAAAAACTTAGTTTTGAAAGCAAAAGTCATAAAAGAGCCATAGCTGCATCAGCTTATGCGTGTGGGGACAGAGACTCATGTGAGATTTGGAATGCRAAAAATAGTAACTATATCTCTGATTCTAACCACAGGAAAAGCAAAACAAGCTCTCGGAGGCAATCAAAACAAGTGGCTCTGAATTCCAGAAGACATAATTTAATGTGCTCAAGAGCATTTTGTAGCTGGAAAGTCAGAAGATCAAGCTGTAGCCCTGAGCATAAGTGTCTAAGACACTGCAGTGAGGAGAAGAATCTGAATCAAAATCCATCCATAAAAAGAAGTTACAGCTTTCTGACAGATGAACCTGAAAAATTCCATGGAAAACGAAGACATCATACCTATTCTTCTTCTTCAGATGAAAGTTTGTACAAACCGACATATGTAGCAGAAGAATGTTTAAGGCAAGTGAGTTCTCTAGCTACACGTCACAAGGCAAAAGGGAAACGCAGGAGGAGGAAAGCCAGAATACGTCGTGTATTTATTGGCAAGGATGCAAAAGATGAGACCTCYAGGCCTTTGGAAGAAAATTCCACAAATCCAACAGTAAGTATTCTAGGAGAATTGTTGATTCAAGACAATATGGAGCAAACTAATACAGATCCTGAAGCTGTTTGTGGAAAAAGTACCGATGATACAGTGCAACAGATAGAAAACAAGTCATCTCTACAAGCAGATAGTTCACATTTGCTGGAAAAAGACAAATTGAGCGAGTGTTCAGCACTGGAGAACCCTTCAAACAAAATTTTGGAAGCTGCCACACATTCAGTTGCTTCTGTTCCTGAGCAAGGTATTCCAGAAACTGCATCCTCAAAGGACGTTCTGGAAGATGAAAAGAAAAAGAAAAATGTAAACAGTCATGAAAATGAAGCTCCTTGTAAAGTGCCCATCACCAATAGAAATTTGGAGCAAGTTTTTCCCAGAACATTTCTTTGCCACTATGAGTTGGCTGAAGCTGTACCACATGAAAAAATTAACGAAGTGGCCAGTGAGTGGGTACGGTGTAATTCCAACACGCTTAACAGCCCACCCCCTTTGCCATTCAAAGAAGCACAGTCCAACAGTCACACCTTCTTAACTACCGAGCAGTTAATCACCCCCTTCACATTGCCGGAGCAGGCATTGCTATTTCCCCCGGATACTCCTGAGAAATTCAAAGACCTCCAGCCTGAAGCATATCAGCAGATCATGCAGCAGCATATGCTGGCGAACAAAGTGAAGTTTGCCTTCCCTCCTGCGGCGGTCCAGCCCCCGAGTTCTCCGTTGCCCTTACCCTTGCAACAGCCCCTGTCGTCTACCTCCGTTACCACGATCCATCATGCTGTTTTACAGCAGCACACGGCCGCGGCCGCAGCAAGTACGTTTAAGGTTCTTCAGCCCCACCAGCAGTTTCTCTCACAGGTCCCCGCTCTTTCCAGAGCACCTTTACCTCATCTGTCAGTAGGACCTAGACTTTGTCCAGGAGGCCACGCGACTTTTGTTGCTCCGCCGCATTTGCCGCTGATTCCGACTTCAGTCCTCCATCCAACGCACCTGACGTTCCCCGCTCTGCCACACACAGTGTTTCCTTCCCTGCTCTCACCACATCCAGCTGTCATTCCCCTCCAGCCCCTCTTTTAGGACGGATTTTTAGCAGCAGCAATGGGGAAAAGGAGCCTTCCGATTCAACAAACTTGCTATTTCTACAGTCTCCTCAGCTCTGCAAGACAGTTTTATGAATTAGTGAAATAAACAGGTTAAAAATGCTCATTCATTTGGAAGGATTTACTGTAAGTATAATGATGCAAATATTCATGTAAAATTCAGATCTATACTATAATTAAAGCACTGACTAGTCTGATGCTACGATGAACTATATATACATAAGTGCAGATGATGTCTTAGAATATGTATAATGTATGTAAAATATATTTATAGTCTGTAACTTATGTTGTAAAGTATTCACTTTTTGTTTTTTATCTTTGTGTATTTGCACCTATTTAATGTTTAGACAAAGCTGATGCACTATGTTTTGTACTATGTTCTCTGAAACTGTAAATCTAGTGACAAACTATCTCTTGCAATAAATTTTTGTTAACTACTTAATTATATCAAAAATCTTTCATTGTAAGCCTCATGGATGTTCTTCCATGTTGTTGTGCATTTTAATAACATTCTGTGCTCCAGCTGTATTCGGATAATCAGGTTTCCTATATTTCAGTGATTTATCACAGGGGCTCAGAGGCTAATACCTTGAGGGCAGCTGTCTGACTGAGCAGGAGAGAAGGGATAATAGATCTGTTTGTGTTAGCAGTTTGATGTCACCATGACAAATTTTGCCTCCTTGGAGTATGTGCACAAACGGCTGACTGTTTGAGTTAATCCCTTTTATATTAAACCACAAAAAAAGACAATGTATCAAAAATAACATAAATGGTAGAGAAAAGAAGAAAAAATCAGGGACAGTTTGACTTAAAATGGAGCGTTCAGCTATCTTACGATTAAACGTGCAGCACAGGGAAGGCCTTATTTCCATCAGCTCTCCTATTTTGTATGCCTGTGTCTTGCATGTCCACGTGAGCAAATCCTTAAAGGCTAGCTTGCCTATTTTGCTCTGTGAACCCCCCTTTTATATGTAGGTTTTGCGAGTTCAGGTTCTTTATTCATCAATGTGGTAGCCTGTCCCTCACGCGTGAGATGGAGTGCAGCAGACTGCCAACCCTAAAATGGAAATCTGCTCAGAAGAGTCAGCCAAAGACTTGGAGGCTGTCTTTGATTGACACCCATCTTACATTTACCTCAGTGGGAGACGAATCTGGCAGAGTGAAGATCCTTGTCACTGTTTAATGCAGGGAGAAAGCCAGAGCGTATAAACAAGAAGGGGAGGTTATGAAGAACTTAAAATGTGGAATTTTTAATCCTGCAATGGTTTGATTCAATTTCTTACCTCATTTTGCTGTATTTCTTGCAGCATATTGGCACAAAAAGAATAAAATAGAATAGAAATAAATAGAATAATATATTGCAATTACTTCTACTTGTATTTCAGAGAATTCCCTCTACCTCTGCAGCCCATTTACTGTTGTCGAACGTCATCCTACTTTAGCCATCGAAGTCTTCTCATTTAGTTTAATATGAGATATATCAGGCCCACAAATGTGATGGTCTCAAAATAAAAATGTAGAAGTGGTTCTGAAATAGAACCATCTCTTTGGCTTAAAATGCAATAGTCTTGTGAATGAAGCCAAGAATTTGCAGCAGGACCTTTAGTAGTAGCAAAACTTGATAAAAGGTAAGCTAGTTTTGAAATTGCTGACTTCTTTTCACTAATCATTTATCACAATTAAATTTCAGTTGAACTGAAAGAGTAGYAATTTTGAAGATTAGTAACATAAGTCTCATATTAATAGATACATGCATTATCCATTTAAAAATTGGCATCCATTTAGCAAATTTAAACTATACGTCTGGATATTATTTTCTGCATCTATAACCTTAGAACTCAACTATATGGATATTGCAAGTTTTAATAGATTATTGCATTAAATTTAAAGCAACATATTGTCAATTGTGATCACAAAGTTAGATGCTGAAGATTTGTAGGTTTTCCTTGTCATGCCATTATAAAGGGCTAAACTATGTTAATAAGCAAAAAGATAACAGCAGCTGAGTGGCCTGGTTATGAGGAGCCTCTTGGAACCTGCCTGAGGCTGTGGCATGGAACAGAAGGTTGCTGAGCATCTATGCCTATAATGCCATAATCAGGGTACATTTTCTCTAGCTTATAGTTTCCAGTGACTGATATTTTTTTCTTGGTGGTGCATTTATTGTTTTGTTTTTGTTGTTGTTTTTAATCTGGTGCATAGAAAATATGTTTTAAGTTACTTCATCCTATCTTTTTTTTTTTTTCCCAGGTGTATGCCTGTGTAATCTGTATGACTCCACTACCTCCTGTAATATACAGGTGCCAAGTTGGCTGTAAAGCACATTGCTCAGGCACTGGACTCCCTATAGCAACAGCAGCAAAAGGTACATAGTAGTTAGTTAGCCTTATATCTTAGCTCCCTTAAGCTAGCTTGAGTACTTCTGTGCTCTTTTGCTAAAGTCATTGTAGACAGTTTCTAGATTCTCGTATCTTATCAAAGAAATCAATCTGATTATACAACAGTGCACTTCAAAGAAAGAACAATGTTGGACAGTTACTGCTACATGTAGCCATATATTTTTATCTAGCAGGAGATTAAAGATTACAAATTTCATTTTTTTTCAATTATAATGTTCATTGAAAAAAAACCCATCTATTAACTTAGATGTCCATTTTTAATGAAAAAAATTGCTCAAATAGCTTTGGATTTAGTGATTTTTCTGTAATTTAAATATATTCTATTTTAAGTTGTTAAAAAGTTTTAAGACAATGCACAATTATTTATTATATACTGTAATTGCTTTTCAATAGTGTATAAACTACTTAAAATAAAAGTCTAATAATCCTCAAATGTAATCATTTTCTAACATGGTGTTGCCTTTAGTGCTAGAACTGTTTGTATATATGACTTCATATGTAAAAGCAAAAACCATATAAAAATAAATTACACATTAAGTTTAAAATAGAACATGCTAAATTAAATATTACTTATTATGATATTCTTTTGGGTTTCTCTTTTGTTGCTAAATATACAACTTTTTGTACATATGTTATCTAAATGTAGTTCTTTTTCATGTTATCTGACATTTTAGATTAAATATGTATTTTCCTGCTATGAATTAGTGGTATAATAAGTATAAACTAGTGCAAATACTAAATAATTTAATTTTATATTTTTCTAAGTAATTATACCAGTTTTATTTAATTAATTTACTTTTGAATTTTAGAGTTTACACAAATTAAGTGCTTTTTAAAAGTCTGTCCCTGTCCAGTTTATCAATTTATGGAATGATTGAACTACGTTGCTAGTGTAAGCAATTAAGAGATGCTGCTCCTTTAATCCAATGGAATTGTAAGAGTTAAATTTACATACTATAAGGATAAACCTGAATTAGGTTATGGATTTTGTTAAATGGTTTCCCAGAACAGCCCTGCAGAAATGTGATTGAAAAATTAATATGTTCTACTGAGATGAAAAATTTGTCTTTGTAAAGTTGCAATCTGTCCAGATTATGACCTTGTTGGAGAGCTACCATTTCTCAGGTAATATAAGCCATAGAATAACATTCTATAGGATCCTTCAGGCATTAAGAATCATGCTCATCTTTCAAATATGGTGATATCTTTTGTGTTCCTTTACCAGTAAATGGATATTTTTTTTCTAATGCTACCACTGACTACAAAAAGCAGAAGAACAATCAAATTGTTTGTTTGGTCTCATTCACAAACTACATTATCCAAGTTTTTAGTTGCATGGGAGAAATCATGAGATTTAAGGTTCTATGGAAGTGAGCAGTGGTGTTCATGTACATTGAAATCTCTGATCACAGACATTAGGAAAGGAGACAACTTGTAGCATATTTTCATTTTTCACATTTTATTAAGATCTTTGTTTTACTCTAAGTATTGGAAGCAAATGTAAATATTGTGAAGCAAAGTGACTTCTTTCCATGCAGCGTTAACTTTTCACTCTTAAAAAAACTCATATGGAAATGACATTCAAATTGAGCTTTGAAACACAGGAACATGGATTTCAGTTTATTCTTATTATATATGATAATATGTTTCTTATACAATTTACAAAATGGCTATAAGTTTTATGAGTTCTTTCTCAATGATCATGTGCATTTTTCTAAACAGATATTTGGCATTATCTCTTTACATTTATTTGTTAAGTGATATTTAAAATACACTTTTAGCGTGTTTGGTCAGATTCTTATTCATTGTAAATCAATGTAAACCTTCTGATATCACTGGAATTTAGTTTATTTTTAACAGCTGAAAATCTCTAAGGTTGTAATGCTAAAGAATTTTATAAACTTTCTCAGACCAAATGCTATGGCAATGCATTATAGTCACACAAATGTGTTTTGAGACATTTACTTGTTTGTAACTACATTGATGTGTTTTAATCTGTTGGGTATTTTAACCTGATGTACATATTCTACACATTCTAAAATCCATATATTAATTTTCTGATTTCTACTGTGTATATTGCATAAAGAATCATATATATGTAGTAATGTGCATACTTATGCAATATGTTGGCCTATTGTAAAATTTTAAAAGCTATAGGAGCTCTTTTTATTGAAAGTAAAGACATTTTTACTGTATAGAGATAATTGTTTTTTTTTAATTTAACAAGACAGTGTTGTAAAACAAACTTTTTTTTGTAAAACACTTAATTCTGATGTTTATGACAGCTATATTTTTGTAGTTTGTTTTGTTTATCTTCTTCCTTCTGAGCTTTACTTCAGGAATTTTATAAAATTTGTTCTTTTTGAGTTTATAAATTTGAGTAACTTTATCAGTTTCTTATAATTTTGTATATCTGTGAATAAGAACCATTTTTTTTCTGACTTCTGATTGAAAAAATTAGTATGCCAACATAAGAATTATAATATTTTCTATATTTCTTTGAGTATTCTTTTAATGGTTTTGTAGAAGGTAAATAGGATTTCTACAGTGAGTCTGAATTTTGATCCATGGGTAAAATTCTGAAATTAATGAAATCAAAGGAAGCTTTGCCCTTAATATTAGATATATAGATATTTAGATAATTAGATATTTAATTTGATTTTAGGGCTCTTTATTCATTAAAACTCCCTAAAACTCAGCTGAGTAATAATATAGGAAATTAGGAAGAGGACAACACAGTAAGGAATAAAATTGATTTTAATCATAATTTCCCCTCCTTTGGTGTAAGGATACTTGTATTATTAATTAACATGAAGCTATCTTTTAAATTTCTGTTTTAACTCACCATGTTTTGAAACACATACATGTACACATACATTCCAAAGAAATAAATATGGTTAATGAAAATGCTGAGTTTTCTACCAGTACAGGATCATTTAAAAGATTTTAATAAGCACTACTACATTCCTACAGTATTTATTTAATATGAGATATTAGGCTGGACTTTATTTTTGCTGGGATAGGATCAAAATATGCAAATAGAATAGAGCCAAACATAATAATTAAGTATAAAATATGAATACATGTTGGATATAGCATTATGTATAGAAGGTTGTTGTTAAATCAACACCAGTGTTTTTGTTTGCAGTTTATGAGATTTTGAGAGACTTRTTTTGTCAAAAGATGTAGCAAACAAGAAAGTTACTTTATAAAGTGGTAAGTTTTTTTTTTTTTTTTATCTGTTGTAGTACCTATGCAAACATGCATGTGAAACTGCAGGTGAGTATTGTACATTCAAAATTGTATATTTGTAAAGAAAATCTT